AAAAAAGAATTAAAATCAGTTTAATTTACGTAATGTAAGGTTACCTGGACATGCTCCAAAGACTAAAATGTCAAAAATAAAACTCTTTGTTTATGGGGCATGTATCTTTAAAAATTTCCAATAGAGCTTAGATTTTTTTTGTGACCTTAATAAAAATAATTTAATCACTCTGTAGAGATACAAAAATAGTTTTTCAATTAAAAAAAAATTATATTTAATTTAAATTGGACACACACATAATTTTTGAAATCTCATAATACATGTTTATGTTTAGATACCATTTTTTAAAAAGTATCTGTTAAATATGTAAAACATTTTTGCATATATTTAAAACAATACTCAAAATATAGTGAACATAATTTTTTTAATGAAATATTAAGATAGTTTCTTTAAAAAAATTATAAAATTTTGGGATTTTGCGAATTTCTATTTTTCTTCCATTTCTCATACACATAAAAATATTTAAAAAAAAAAAAAAAAACAGATATGTACTACTTTGATTGAAAAATTGGTTCATTATATTCACAGGTACCATGCATAGAAGTATAAAAAAAATTAGAACCATATAGTACAATAGTTTTTTTTTTTTAAAAAAAAGTGTACCTAAAAGCAAAAAATTATGCTTTGGGAAAAAAATGAAAAACTAAACATTTTTAAACGTTTGTTTACATTTTTGTCAATTACTTTTTTCATATTTAAAGGTTATTTTATCAACGAACATATAAGTGTTATACATTTTTTGATACAGATTCAATTTTTCAATTTTAATACTAAAATTGAAAAATTGATTTTTTTAATGTGTATGATATCCTGGTTCCTTTAAGTAATTGTAGAAAAATTAATATATTAAATTATAAATAAAAAAAAATTGAGCTTGTATTTCATAACAAATTCACACCACATATAGAAAAGATTTTTATCATAGTTTCCAAAATTTCTTACATTAGTAACGGAAAAAAATATTTACACATAAATCTATGTGCTCAAAAAAATATTCCTTTGCTTTAAAATCGCAAATTTAAGAATTTGTAAGCCGCACGCTGCGTTGTGTTATTACTTATTTAAACGAGGAATTTACGTACATTTTTCTTTATACGTATAAAATTAGTTTAAGAACATTATTATGTAAAAAAAAAACTTTGAATACATTTTTTTAGAAAGGAATGAAGAAAAAATAACATAGTTTCGAAATATTATTCTTCTATGGAAAATGCTTCTATAAAATAATATTTTCCCTATATACAGCTAAGACCTCTACAGAACCTTAACTAGGATTTTTGAAATACGGTCGGACCCCAATTTAACGAAATCATAAGGACCGAACATTTTGTTCGCTAATTCGGGATTATTAATTAATTATATCGGAGTACAAACAAAATACAAATTTTTGGCACTTACCTTTTGGAAACTCTTTAATAAGCAACTACACAAAAAATACGCATAGTTAGAAATTACACACTTTTTATTCATCAGCTAAAAATACTATTAGTTGTAATACCTATCAGTTCCTGCTTGCCTGTGAAACCCCTTGTCTACCTGTAAACCCGGCTAGGTGTGTGGGAGAAACTGAACGATCAGCAGACATGATTTCTCAACCTAATTAATTTATTGTTAACAAAATATCAATCAGACACAATAACAATCTAATTCAGGTAGGCGATTAAATAGTAGAGCGTGGAGGTGAGATTCTACAACACGGGGATACTACTACGGACCCTCAACTGAATCTAAGATAGCTTAAATACGCTCAATATAAATTACGTTGCACACTAATAAGCTAACTCCTAATTAAACAAGCTCACGATACCTGCACTTTTTATGCAGCGGATCTTACACTTGAATATTACAGGTGATCTTTATCGGGATTGATCCATGTCGTTGGATCCACTGGTGTAATCCGTTTTCCTGGACAACTCCAAGACCTCTTAAAAATTCCACTATCTCTTTCAATCTTCAACTAACAAACTAACTCGCAAACTCTTTGCTAACTCCTACTTGCCAACTCTAACGTGCCACCTTACAAACGCGCGAAAACAGAATTTATATACTATACTTCATTTACATAATCACGCTCTCTTGGTCGGCGAAAGTTGGTTGAATAAAATTATTTTTCTCCAGAAGAGTCCCCAAGGTATTAATATAGTCACGGATAGAACCGTCACATAGTGAGTTATTACGTGATAGCTAATTGGAAGTTTTATACTAATTAATAAATGTTTGATTTTTTTTTATGTCTGTCTTGTAATCTTGAAAGGGTGCTCGTGTATATAAAATTTCACCTCAAATGAGTGCTTTACAATGCTTTTTATTAATGATTGAAAATTTGAACAGGATAAACATATATATAAATATAGAGAGAGTATGAACTAATAATAGGAATTGAACAAGGAAGGAACATACGCATTAAATGAAATACCAAATTCACACACAAATAATATTTCTGAAAAATATCACATTTTTTGTAACAAAAAAAAATTATTTTTTTTTTCAAATTCGATAATAGTGCCGCTTTAAGCATTTGCCACCCCGGGAAGGGGTCCAGTTTGTCCGGCCCAAGAGCCACATCTGATAATTGCTATAGATTCTTGGCCGGCTTGTCATGAGTTCAAACCCTAATTTCTTTGAATACCCGCTGCATATGAGGGCTGATGCACGTTCAAATTGTCAAGGCTCAAACTCAGTTGAGTAACGGAGAATATTAGCACTCCCCCCACCCTGCAAAGTCAGGTTTTGTGCCCCCAGTAGTACCTGGGGTTAGTCAAGCTTTGCCCCCTCTCCAGCGATGCGTGGGTTGCTGGAGCTTGCCGGGGTGTACTTTACGCCACTGCTCAAAGTCCTCCCGTTGATGTAGTGTGGAAGTTTGGAAAGGGGGTATAAGCTAGGTGTCGTCCTCGTCATTGACCTTGATCCAAAATTACGAAGTCCATCGCCAATAACCCTTGTATTACTATATAGGACGACGATAATCACCAACAAAAAAAAATCCGCGTTCTTTACTATAAAGATATGTTTATACTCGCACATTTTAGAATGGTCATATATAAGCAAATAAACGTTTAGGAAATTTAAATAACTAATTGTAAATTTATGATTCTTAAACTTCAACATTATCAGATAAAACATTTTTAAAATATTCCTGTATGTAAATTAAAATTTTCTTTGTTTAAAAAAAAAAACAATTTTTCAGCCACATCAGGAGGCTTTGATTTACATATTTTCTACTTGTGTTTATTAAGCGCGGTCCCTTTCTGGCATATAGAAAAAATTAAATGTATTGGAAACCTATTTTATACGTACTTATAAAAATTCAATATATTTTAAGTATTTTCTTTTATGCTGTGCTATATATATATTCCTCTCTGAAAATGGCCAGCGTGTCGCGGGTTAAATTTATCGAGATTTAATATCCTCCTGTTGGAGTGGTAGTTTTGAATGGGTGAGTGAGTGAGTGAGAGAATATTAACGTCACACTGTTCAACTACACGAGGGCTTTTGGCGACAGACCTCGTAATTTTGAACCATGGTCAAGTGACGAGGATACTTTAGCTGGCACCCCTCTCCTAACTACCACACCACACCACCCAGGGCGTTTCAGCTCTCGACAAATTTTACGTGCATCGCTCCCCTACATAGCGGGTCTTCAGCGGCATTGGGCTCGAACTCATGATACGCCGGCCACGAGTCCGTTACCTTTGCCAGTAGGCTACCGAGGCCACAGTTGAGAATGGGAGGTACCAGCTCAGGTATCGTTTTGGTCACTTGACCGAGGTTCAAAAGTATGAGGTCCATCGCCAATATCCCTCGTGACGCTTTACAGTGCGGCATTAATATAACTCTCCTTCCCTTGTCTCTCATAAGTAAGTTTGAGTTTATAGTGCAGTTGTTGTACCTTAAATCCATTGATGTTCAAAACCCTTACTTGGGATAAAAGCACAGGGGTTTCGGTTTATTTATCTGACCGAGGTGCAAAATTGGTACGTTTCAATACTTTTCCTGTTGCTTTGAGGTGCGACATTTATTAATAATGAATAAAAAAAAATTCCTAAGCTTCCAAATATTAAGTATTTTTCTACACAATAAATCACCCGATGTCGCAGTAATTTCTTTCGTGAAACATCCCTGAGCAGTGGCGTGGGGAGAGTTCGGTTGTTAACCCACCCCCTCATAAACTAACGGATTTTTAATTTTCACCATAGAGATTACCTCTTTGCGCCTACGCCTACGTGTTTTTTAGAATGTAACCCCCCCCCCCCATAAGAGAGGTATATGCACGCCATTGTCAATGGGCCTTGTTTCACCCTTATATGTCCTTCCCGCCAACTTAATTAAATGTTAAATGTTTATGGGAAGCTATTTTCCCACCTATGATTTATGCTGTTAGCACTTCAGCTAGCGTGACAACTGATGTCTGGATTTTCAAAGTCGTAAAGGCAAAGGCCGACCTCTAAATTTCCAGAGCAGTAAGAAAACTTTTCCAGATGACATGAGATTGACTAAAGGTGACCCTATGCCAACTTGACAAAAAAACGTATAAAGTGTTTATCATATGTATTGTTATTTCTGTTTTCTGAAATTTCTTGGAATTTTAAGTAATATAAGTAGATTCTTAAATTTTTGAATACAAGGTATACCTGAGAGCCGGGTATTATGGAATACCATTTACATTTCTAACATTAACTTTACTAGTTTTTGACAAACATCTGCAAGAAAACAGGTAAAATAAGAAAAAAAATTAAGTCAATTCCTACTAGGTCAAACAAAGAAAAATTTCATTTTAGATACTTTTTATTAAATATAGTTCCAACTAATATAAATACGTATGGCAGAAACACAATATTAAGTGACAAAATTGAAAGCGATTTTCTTTACAATAATTTTCCATTTTCCTTTCTATATATAGTATTGGATTATTTTTTGTTACTATTTGTATTCATTAATTAAATTTAATTATTCTAATAAAATAGTATTGAAAAAAAAATTCGCATTCTCAGAAATTAGGGCATCCTAGGTGGGATTCGAACCCACGACCCTTGGATCAGAAGTTCAACGCGGTGCCCATTGCGCTAAAAAGACACAACAAGCAATTTTTCTTTCTATTTGTGCAGTTGGACTCTCATTTTAGGTTTGTTACTGCTTTCATTTTTTAACTTAATTAATGAATTAATACTTGAAAAGTCTGCATTAACATCAAAAGTGCCATCCACTGCAATTTTTAAAAAATGGGGCCGTGGGTAGCCTAGTGGTTAGAGCAATGGACTCCAGACCGGAAGGCCTGGGTTCGATGCCCAATGCCACCAAATACTTGCCGAGTACAAACAGAGCACGTGCTTGTTAAATCTGTCGGTCTGAATGGTGTCGCCATCTATCGTGAGCAAAATCGTGCAGTCACCTTCATGGGCTCAAAGCTTAGGCTAATGACATTCGTATCTATAGCCCGTTGCCATGATGAATTTCGTGGACCTCGATCTGACTACATCAGACAGGTGGCATAAGCAACAACAACAACGACAAAACAATGTATTTGAACTTGAATGAGTGAATAGAAAGTATTTTATTAACGATTGAAAATTTGAACAAGATATATATACATATATATAAATAAAGAGAGAGTGAACTTATAGTAGGAATTTAATAATCATGGATATATATACTGAAAACGATTGTAAGGAATTATCACTTTTCAAAAACAATAATATTTACTTTGATGTTATATAAAAAAATTTATTTTTTTTTTTTCAAAAAAAGTGATTTTATGGAGGTTAGTATGGAGTAGGTGGTTTAAACCAGTAGTCTTCAACCCCCGGGCGGTGGACCGGCAAAGATCCGTCAATCAAATCTTTGGGCCGTCACAAGGAACATTAAAGTACTTCAATGTTACTTAAAGTGGTGTATTATGTTCGTTCTAGTGAATTAAAAAAATCCCTGAAAAAAAGTGAATTAAATCCCTTTATATTCATTTTTGTTTTAACTATATTTTACTTTAAAGGCATATTTAAATACAAATAAATTAAATTATTCAATCAAAACGATTTAAATTATTAACAATCAACTCCCTCCCCCCTCTGCAGCCCGGGGTGAAATTTTCAAATGTTTACTGGTTTGCGGCTATAAAAAGGTTGGAGTGCACTGGTTTAAACCATTGGAAAACTAATTAAGATTTCATAAAACGTAACTATCTTTAACTATAAATCCAAAGTCCATTGCAGAGGATCCATCAGAATGGAACGATTTATAGCTGCTAATACTGGAGTCATCTCTATGTCCAGAAGTTCGGTCTGATTTGTTAACGAAGTAAGTGTCTTTGAATATTCTTCTGTTCTGAAATCTCTCGTTTCTTTTTGTTTATCCTCTAAGACTTTTTTATATGGAAAGTACGTTTTTTAGAAAAATATAAAGTTTTTCTGCCTATTGTTTATGTTTTGTTTCCATTCCAAGGAATTCAACTGTTACGGACTCATTGCGTCATCCCTTTTCACCTCGCCCATCTTATACGGAGAAATGGAACACCCCCCCCTTTTTTTTTTCCGTACTTTGTTTGTTTCTTCTCTGGGTGTATTCTTGTTCGTTCGAGAATGAATAAAGAAGTCAATATGCCTTGGTAAAAATTCGTTGAACTTTATTTCGCTTTCTAAAACATTTCGCAAGCTATCGACACCGGTGCAAAACTTGTACATCAACTTTTAAAAAAATGTTCTTTAGTTTTAAACGAGGCTATATTACTATTTATATAATTAATAACTATTGTTTAGCTATCAATATTATACTCCAAAAACATTTTTTAACTTTATTTATATTCGGTATAATTTGTAGGGTCATATAAAAAATTATACTTTTACGTCAAGTATTCCATAATACCCGACACATCATCTTGGAAAATGAACCTTTAAACTGAAGGACGAAACATGGTCAGCTAAAAAGCGATCACAGTATTACAATTTACAATTCTTTAAGTGTACATTATGCTAAACTTCGTTGCACAAGACACATGAATACAAGTAAGTAAAAATGTTTTAAAAGTTGCCTGCAAAGACTTTTGAAAAAATTCGAAAAACACACTTTATTCTACAGCGAGGGGTATTTCATTCTCACTTCGACACTTCATGAGTCTTTCTTCTGTATCTCAAGGTTCCCTCGAATTAGCAGCTACAAACAGAGCAAAAAACCTCGGGATATTCCTTATTACCCGACTTTTCTATAATACCCGAGTCTCATCTATCTAAAATTTTCCTTTTAGTATTTACAATATTTTTTAAATACCATGCAATGTAATTTAAAAAGAAATTACATTAAAAAGACCATTGAATATTTCCCAGTGGGTGGTGGGAAACATATCTCCCTCCAAAAAAAATGGTCTTAAAAATCACATTAATAAAAAGTAATAAAAGCCAAATGAATTTCTTTTTACAATTCAATCTCAACCCCAAAAATATTTTAATGAATGAGTACTAGAAAGAAAAAATGACCTTATAAAATGTTAACCAGATGTCCGATTCCGAGTTACGCGATTCAGAACTCTGCTAATTTTTCTTTTAACTCATTTTTTGTTTGAAATCAACGTTTTGCCTGGCAGGGTTTTCACTAGATGGCGTCCCCAATTCATTTCTCTCCTAAAAATCTTTTTACTCATGTATCCCAATTTGCACTCCCCCCCCCCCCCAGATGTCTCTTTTCTTGCATTTCTTTTATTATACCTCGCTCGAGTTTAAATTTTTTTTCCCACGACATATGTGTGTTCACAGTTTTATTATTTTTCTAAGAAAACCGCATTTTTGCTTACGTTCGTTCAAATAGAATCTTTTCATTTAAAAAGATCACATTTTCGGCCGAAAAACCACACATTTTGCCAATATTTTTCGGTCTGAATAATCGATCTGAGCCCTTCCCCTATCCATGACATGTGTCGAATCGTAAGGCGCGTTTTCCATAGTCACGCCCACTCTACCGTCATCTGCGGCTTGAAAAATCCAATCCATTGCACTCTGGTTATTGGGTGACTTGACCAGCTGGGAGTGGCTCCACCGCTTGGGCTCAAAACCGATCATAACTCTGTTTGAATTCAGAGCCACCTAAGTTGATTTCTTTAACTTCATTTAATCCCAGGGACGTCTTAAAACATGGGCCCACTGGTCCCGGGCCCAGGGCCTCGTCACGTTTTCGACGAGGCCTTCATGGTTTTGCGATTGTAAGTCATGCACATTCATTTGTTTCGGGTTAATGTTTGGACGATATTTGAAAACGTAAGCATCATTTGCACCCTGTAAGCGTAGAGGGAAAAAATATTATTCTTAAATAATTTTTCAAATTCACAAGTGGGCCTCTTCGTTACTATGCAATAAATGAAACTAGCGAACCCCTCTATACAATATGTACGAAAAAGATCAAATTGGTTTTTCTTAGTTTTAATTCCCCTAACTGTATCCATACTACATTCAATATCTTAAAAATATTTTGTGTAGGGATCAGCATCTGGTTTTGTTAACTCCAATTCCAGTTTACTAATTATGTTATAACTTTGCTTCTAGATATCATAGAAACAAAAATAGAGTGTTTTTGGAATCTTAAATGTATAGTCTTTAAAATAAAAACACAAAAGTAATTTTTGAAAATTTTCACCAAAACTGCGAATTTTGGGTAGTCACATATCTTAATGAAATTTACTTGATTCATAATAAGTCACATTGTTGATTTTTTGGGCACTTGCTTATAGGCAAATAATAATTTAAGTATTCCTTTGCTACATTGGAATAGTTTTATTTTCATATTGAACTTTAAAATAGCTTGCATGTCTTGAAAAACGCAAGCCTACAAAATAAATTTTTGTTTTCAATTAGTAATCTTTTTAAGAGACTAATTTCTTGTAGATTTTAAAGAACTTTTCTAGCTTATTGGTAAACTTATGGAAAATGTCTTAAAAGTTCTCATAAAGAAATTATTTCATTACATTTATTTTATGGTTCCTTTATTGTGACTATAGTGTTTTGTTTATTCGGATGAAAATAAATGAAGTATATATATATCAGATTCTTTATATTTAACCCAATATAAATATATTTTATGCTTTTACTCATTAAAGAAAGGTAAAGAAAAATTATGTTTTTACCATAAAATCTGGCATATCATGTATACCATCGTATTACATGCACTTATACTTTCAAGTAGCAATTTTTAATTTTTATGTTTATTTGCTGAAAATGTGCACCCCCATTTTCATGAAGAAACCTGAGATGTATGCGAGCCATGCTCTTAAAGTTTGAAAGTCATTTATTCTAAGCTTTAGTAAAAAATAGTATACATCTAGAAGTGCAACCCTTTAAGTTCATAAGGAATGCCATTTCTTTTAAATAACCATTATTTTGATCTATGTAGAAATCTAATTTTTTTTTCCTGTGCTCACATTTTTTAAAGCTCTTATTTTTATACCTGGTATATAACGTGCACGCATAAAATTCAATCTTATTTTTTGTGTTAAAAGTGTGCACCATACACCAGATTTTACGATACATATTACCACAACAATGCCAATGTTCAAGATAACGTTGACCTGATTTTGCATGTGTCGTATGCGCCAGATTGACTACCATGTGTTGTATTACATATAATTTCACCAATATGGTTGCAATATTATGAAAGTAACAAAAATTAATACAGCTTGGGTACAAAAACTCCTGTATGCAGGTATGTTGTACACAAGTGAAAAAACATAAATCTTGGTATATACTTACGTATTATCACAACCAATTGGTGACATTATATGAAACAAAGCACCTGTTTGCCAATTCAGCACGTTCAACACACAGGAACTCGGAGGGTACTTGTGTATTTTTGCGACAATCGCTGACTCTAAATAACTCGCTGAGTTGGCCACCCCGATTTCCTATGTGTGGTACACACTGAATTGGCTGCCAGGTGCTTCATTTCATATAATATCGCTAATAGGTTGCAATAAGACGCAATTACCAATCAGGGTTGCCAACTTGGTGTGTTATTATTATATTTGGCATTTGTTGTGATAATACGTAATTTGTTCAGTCTGACGTATTTGAAGCACAATTAATTTAAATTATAGTTTTAAG